TCACTAAGCAAAAACGGTGCTAAGGCCACCGAGCCCCTCATATCACATCATACCGTTATTCGATTTGTTGTAACCTTTCAAACCCGGTACCGACGTTGACGACAAGTTTCGCAAAATACACGATAAATAAGCAATTTTACCAAAATCTCTTTAATATGAAAGCACCGCGTTTTTTTTTTTTTGCTCAATAAACAAGCCACTGCAATCGACGATCTTTCAAATCCGAAAACTAAACTATCATAACAAGCTATGACCGATTGTGTAAGCTCTGGTTAAACAAGCTATTCAAATTAAATTATGTTCTCGAAAGCAGTCAATACTGTAACCCAAACTGGATCAAGCGTGCGCCCTATTTTTTAAAACATTGCGAACCGTTACGCCCAAGATCTATCAGTTACGATTTTCGACAATAGTAAGTAGCCTGGGATAAATCGTAATGTCTTATCATCCACAAGACTCAACTATGTTTTTGCATAAGGGGAAGAGGTGGGGCTATCATCATCATCATTAGGATGCACACCTTGCCGACAGTATCGCTTTTCTTATGTTCTAACTAAAACCGCTAAATGGATCACGCGCGATTGAGGTTATCCCGCCAGGAAACAAGCGGATTGTTTTTAAATTGGAACAAACTCATCAAATACAATAACCATGGCAACTCCAACACAATCTTAAACAAATTTTGGAAAATTTCGAAAAGGAAAAGGAAAAGTACACACAACCACATAAAAACACACAGCCAAAAATTAATTTTGATATCACATCAAAGTGGGTGCACTTCAATCGGCCTAATCGCCCATTTTGGACCTATCGAGCAGAAAACTTCAAAAAAATCCATTATTTCAGAGTTAACAAGTCAATTTTGTGTTTGTTACGATACTTTAGTTAATAAGCAACGGAACGAAGTCAATGAGAACGCGTGATATGAAGGTTTGCACCCATTATTCCCAAAAACAAAAGACCGAATCAATTTTTATCTTCATCGGATAGGCCGAAGTGAATTCATTGGCCGAGTTTAGAATCCGTAGGCCGAGTTTGGCGTCAAGAAGCAGTGTTATATACTTTTGACAATATCTCAACGATTGGTTTCTCATTATCAAATCTTACGATACATACGGAAAGGTAAATAAATTAGGAAGCCATCAGTAATAATAACATTCCGTTTGGTGCTAAACTGCGCTAGATTAAGAAATACTAAGTGCGAGTTGTGCTTAATGGGCCGGCGCGAGTAGTTCGGATTTTCGCGAAGCACGTGCAAAATTTTGATGTGGTGCTCCTCTTGCTTGGACGCCAGTTTGACAACTGAAGAGCATTACCCCACCATAGTAAAGTGACCTTACCCTATAACAATTTCATTACTCTGTAATAGTTTTGATCGAAAAAAATAATGGGAAATTTTTTCCCCGATTATGTTAGTAACAAGTCTAAAACACAATCGGGTAGAGGAGAATTTCCCCTACCTGATCATTTTGTAGGTTTGCGTTGGCGTACTTCGGTTCGCGAGAAAATGGAGTTAAGGCCATTTCAATTGTTGGTCGCGACAAAATGACCTTCCAAGGTTTGTTTACAAAATGAAGTTCAGTCCTTTTAGTTTAGTTTAGTATTCTTTATTAACGAGAAGTTCAGTCCTTTTAAATTGTTGGTCTTGTCCAGGGTTGCTTCCACTCACTTGCTATAAAAAAATGTTTTCCGGAATTATAAAATCAAGAGAGGTTATTATGATATGTTGCATTTGTAAATTAAAAGAAGAGGTTGTAAAGTATGTGTTTGACACATGAAACCTGTCAATTTCGCTTTCAGAGTGTCACAATTAGCGATTTTATGATTCGTGAGCGTTGACTCAGAGTGAGCGCTTGCAAGTCATAAAATCGCTGATTGTGACTATCTGAAAGCGAATTTGGCAGGTTTTATGTGTCAAACACTTACCTTTCAAACTTTTCTTGTATCGAACAAGTACAAAATATCATTATAACAACTAATGATTCCAAAATTCCGAAAATCATTTTTTTATAGCAAGTGAGTGGAAGCAAGCCTGGTCTTGTCTTCTCCGAATCTTGTCACTATTAACAAGGCATCAAAAGCTAAGAGGAAGAGGAGACAACTGGCTTCTTTTTGTCTGTGACGTGTTCTTCTTCTCTCGCGGAAACGACCGTGCAAAAACTATTTCATTATGAGCGACGCAGTCGACTGTCAAAATACAAGAAAATAGATTCCCTGTTGTAAAAATTCTCGCGTTTCTATACGTTCGCTCGACCAATCAGGCGCTGGTTCACATTTGACAGAAGATTGGTTCATAAAAGTCCCCTTATTGTCTCCTCTTTCTCTTATACCTTGTACAGACATACCAAGTACACTGTTGTACCATAGAGGTAACTCTAAGACTAGAAGGTCACGAAATAACTTGCTCAACTTTTTGGCTCAGCTCTGGTACTCTCTTCGGTCCCAAGCTAATCGATTCACCCCTCGAAACATAGGAAAAACCAATAACCCCTCATTTTATCTGTCAAACTTTCATAGCGAATCAAAACAAACATTGCGTAGTACTAGAATTTCGACTAGAATAGGGTACGTTAATCGTTTGCTTGGGACCAATAGGCTACCCAACTAACAATTTTTACAATGTAAACGCTTTACTCATTTCATTTATACAGTCTCAAGCTGTATTCAAACGTTGTACGATATGAGGAAACCTTTACTCAACCTCTATACAAGCAAATCTGGCGAACTTAGTCAGCTACTTATGGCTGTTGGGAACAGTCGGGAGAAGCTCTTATTGCATATCCATTAACGCTTCTATACAGCTGTTATCCTGCTGCTTAGTTGTGTGTGAACTTGAAAGGCGCTTATTCAACCTCTTCCCGTTTGTACAATAATCACTACACAGCTTTCTCTTGAAGCCGGGTTAAATACTGTTTACGCTTTTTTATGAAGGAATTTATTGAGTTTAATTTGCTGTGAATCAAATTAATCGGAATTAGTTACAAATCATCACCAAATTATTTACCCTGCACCGGAACCTGGAATCGAACTCGAGACGACCTCATTGGCAAACCTTGACACTACCAACTGTGCTACGCCAACACTTTGAACTTATGTAAACAAATCAACATTCCCTTCTACAACAAAATCGCTGAGTAGAGGCTTTATGATAGTGCACATGAATCACTTTTCTCGACTAGTTATAAAAGAGCAGAGTAAAAGCTGTAAAACTGCACACGTCTAAAAATAAACCTAGTTGACTGTGAAAATGCTTCCTAAGTTGCTCTAACACAGTTTATAAGCTGAGTACAGGTTGTTTAGTTGTTGAAAAAGCACTTTTGATGTTTATGTTATTCAGCAAGAGTGGTTGGTTGTGTAGAAGCCATCAAATGAGTAATATATTCACTTTGTTAGCTTTGTTTTGCAGCTACAAGTGGAAAGTTGATTAGTGTGTGTATAGAAGTGACATTAGCGTTTATTGGCTGATGTTATTCAGTGCGACTGACAAATTGAATAATGGTTGTGAGAAAGTTGAGTAAACGCTCTCCAAAACTATTTTGCTAGCTTTTGCTTGTAGCTGTATCTGCAGCTTCTTTTCAGCTACTTTACAGCACAACGCTGGAAAAGTTGGCTTACAAAGCTGAAAATGTTAGTTGGGTAGTCAAGTAGTGAGCCAATTTAAAATCGTTAGTTTCGTATTGATTGTTGGTTGTACCAACAATCAATACGAAACTAACGATTTTAAATTGGCTCACCACTTTAGTAGCCTATTGGTCCCAAGCAAACGATTAACGTACCCTATTCTAGTTGAAATTCTATTACTACACTATGTTTGTTTTGATTCGCTATGAAAGTTTGACAGATAACATCAGGGGTGTGTGGATTCATGCAGAACATGCAGGGGTGAGTGAAATAGCTTGGGACTGCTTGGGACCGTTGTTCTGGTACTGAGTGAGCCAAAAATAATAATGATTTTCTTCGGGACCTACTAGTCTTAGAGTTACCTCTATGGTTGTACTACCGTTGTACTTCTTTAAGCTAGTACCTCAAATTGTACGTTTTGAGGTATTAGATTAAAGGAGTACAACGGTACTGCTTTGTATGTCTGTCAATGGTATTAGATAAAAAGTAACAAGGACTAAAATGTGTTCCTTTGATTGCTGAAAAATCTTGTTCCCTTATAGTTTGAATTTATCAGAACTAGGCTTCTGAGGTAGATCTTATACCAGTAACGCAACACGAAAAGGTCTTACTGGTGTATACGCAAAATGTTTGTTATCATTAGGAAATACTCATAACAATAATGTTTCCTGAATTAAAAAATCACTACCACAGTTTAAAAATCAACAATAACCTTTTAAATATCTTTTTCATTGACTTTGGCCCTTATTACCGATGTCACTTCACGGTGAAGTGACAACTGGTCACTTCACTTCGTTTTTACCGTGAAGGGACGCTCGTAATAAGGGAGTTTGTGATGTATTCGGAACCATATGTGACGAGAGCCCAAACAAAACGATGCCATTGTGCAACGATATGTAATTTTATAGCTTTCCACATAAAACCTACCCAAACAATTTTCCTTTCTACAATTCTTGAGGTTTATCGCATGTGATCACGAAGGATTTTTTAACCCCCATGGGTAAAGACGCTGTGATGCTCACTCCCCTCCTTCTCCCTGGTGTATTATGGACGGTGGGCCTTATTACGGGTGTCACTACACGGTGATAAGCAAGTGATACTCAGAATAAGAGCCGTGATTACCGTACAAATCAAATGGGAATCACTTCACCGTGACGACAAGTGACAACTTTTCACCGTGAAGTGACATCCTTTATAAGCCCCGGTCACATCGGTTACATGGCCCTTGACCCCCTTGTACATCATTAAAAAAAAATGAAAAATGAAAATATTTCTTGTATTTTTTTATTTTTTTTTATTATTATTATTATTCTGTACCAACTCTGTATACCACAGCCATCTTTCGAGATGGGCACTTCAAATTTGGCTTCCTGGATACCATACTATGGCTCAGATGTGCTGGATGATATTTTTGGCTTGTAGGGATTATTCGATAGAAGCCAGTTTGAAAACCACATAATCGGATCTTTTGGACGCTCTTTGGCCAGTGTGTAAAGTCCTTGCATCAAAACTGGATTTACCATAGCCGATAGATAGTTGTTTAATCGTTGATCGTTGAAAATCGGTTCCAATAGAAGCGATGGAAAGAAGAAATTTATTTCAAAGTGTGCACTACTTGTATCCTCACTTCCGTGAACGGCATTTTGCAGCTCGTTTCTACTATCGGCAAACATAGCGCGCAATGATCCCGGTGCCTTTTTGATGGCGTCCTGGTACCGTTCGGGGCCGATCAGCCACAGCAGATCAGAAACAGCGTTAATCTTCGAAACACACATGGCCTGTATTGGTCCTTCAGTCAGCGCTGCTATCCAGGCATGATAGCAAGAATGGATTTTCTTGGCGCGATAAAACTCTGATGCCTGCTCCGGAGTTAGTCTGACTATTCTTGATTGCAGGATGGTAAATCCGGCGTCTATAATGCGACGAACAATCACGTTCTTATGCTTCATTGCATCTGGTTTGATAACTACCAGAGTTCGTTCAAAGTCTTCCATTTACACCAGCAGTACAAGTTCGACTGATTGGTTTTCGGAGTGACACAATTTCAGGAACGATGTTTGGTGGAATACTCAAAGCATACTAAGATTTCTCTTTACTTATAAACGTATGCTGTCAGGTGCGGTAGCTGCGTGTAACAAATGGCGATTGATGCAATGAATATGATAGATCAAGGGCAAAGAGTGTTGATTGAATTTAATAATAGATGAGAATATGAATAAAATGCAGCTATCGATGTATGATGTTTCCACAGACAAACAGACATAACTCTTGCAAGTTGTTCATCGAACAAGCATTTAACGGACAATTTAAAAGTAGCGTAGTTGGTAGTACAGTACCGCCACCGCATAGTCAATTCCCTTGCGTTTGACGTTTACACACTAGCGCCATCTGTTCAGCGTAGTGCCCACTACAGTGTACTCAACAGATGGCGGTTATGTTTTAGCGACGATGTTTTAATGTGAGAAATATTCAATGTGTTATGTCTGTTTGTCTGTGATGTTTCTGTTGTGCTCTGCTGACGAGCTAGAAATAACTTCGCCCTCAGAGCTGCAATCTATCATTTTAAAATGTAATATTCAATCAGCCCCTTCTTATAGCGAATTCGTTTATTATTCAGTTCCAACCTGGATCGGGTATCAAGATTGAGTCTGCTTGTTTTCTGACAAACGTCAGTTTGCTCGTTTGTTTTTAAAACCCAGCTCAAGTTAAGGTTCACACTAACAAAAAGTTCAGTTTCGCACTGTATTAAATTTAATCTAATACCCCGTTCACATTACAGCGTATATCACGTGATATACGGTGTCTTGCAATCAGGGTTACTTCCACTCACTTGCTATAAAAAAATGTTTTTCGGAATTATGGAATCATGAAATAGTATTATGCTAATTAGTACTTGTAAGTTACAAGAAGAGGTCATGAAGTATATGTTTGACAAATAAAATCGGTCAATATTGCTTTTTGTGCGTCACAATCAGCGATTTTACGACTCGTGAGCGCTCATTCTGAGTGAACGCTCACGAATCATAAGATCGCTGATTGTGACGCTCTGAAAGCGAAATTGACAGGTTTTATGAGTCAAACACATACTTTACACCCTCTTCTTGTTACTTACTAATACAACATATCATTATAACATCTAATGATTGCATAATTCCGAAAAATACTTTTTTATAGCAAGTGAGTGGAAGCAACCCTGCTTGCAATGAGCACTCATACATCTAGTTTTCACTGGAAATTCTATGTATGAGTGCTCATTGCAAGCCAGCCTATGTTACGTGATAAACAGTGTCGGACAAAAGTTAAGCAACTAATGGAGTGATCAAAATAGTTTATATTTTATTCAACTTTTATATTGTATTAGAAATAATCTATCTCTTACAAATAAAATAAAAACGAGAGTATTATAAAAGGCTCATGATTTTATTGTTCAATTTGATTTGATTATGCAATAATTATAGAAATAACAGATTACACTCTTTTCCTTTCACGACAAAAGTTAAGCAACCAATGGAACAACTAAAATCGAAAATGAAAATATTCAATATTTCGTGGCGTAGCCATGATTCTTTAAAACCGCCGCACAACGTCGAGGCATAGAGTCAATTAGATTGTTAATAGTGTCTTGTGGAATCTCATTCCAAGCTTTGATAAGTGCCAAAAATAATTCGTTTGTATTTTTAAAGGTAGCACCACATCTGACCCTGCGATTCACTATCTCCCATAAATTTTCGATGGGATTTAAGTATGGAGAGTTGGATGGCCACGGTAGAACCCGGATGTTGTGTTGCTGGAACCATTGTGTTGCAATTTTGGACGTGTGTTTCGGACCATTGTCCTGTTGAAACCACCACATTAAGGTATCGTATAAAAATTACCAATTTAGTCTGTTATTTAAATTAGCATCTTCAACTATGTAAATCGAAGCAGCAACAGCAACCATCCCAAAGACCAGCAGCGTTCCGGGGCGAAAAGCGCTACGCTGATGGAATGAAGATACGAGGAAAGCCGTTAAAGCCCGGCGTAAAGCACTTCGCCGTGTAAAGCGCCTTCCTATCGGACATCCCGATCGCGAGGACGCTCTCCGTCACTACCATGAGTCGCACAATCAATGCCGGCAAGAAATCCGTGTCGCCAAACGAACCAGCTGGATGGACTTTCTGGAAGGAATGAATTCGTCACAGTCTTCTGCCGACTTATGGAGGCATGTCAACGCCCTCAGTGGGAAACGGCGCATGACACCGCTCCACGTACAGATTAACGGTGAAGCTGTTTCTGACCCTGCAATTGTAGCGGACGAACTCGGCTCGTACTTTGCCGATCTCGCAGCCATCGAGAAGTACGAAGACGAATTCAAGCGGAAAACTAAGCCTTCGACGTCATCCATTGCAAGTTTTTCTGTTTCTTCTGACGCTGGAAACTCGGACATCAACCAGGCATTCTCCTGGCAGGAATTGCAGCATGCCCTCCGCTGCAGCAACGGAAAGTCGGCGGGTCCCGACGAAATCGGGTACCCTCTACTCAAGAGGTTACCAACGCCAGGCCAGCTACGGATGCTGGAGCTTTTCAACAAGCTCTGGCTCACCAACTCGTATCCAGCGTCGTGGAAAGAGAGCTTAGTCATCCCCATCCCAAAAGCCAATGAAACAACCCGTGAAGCTAGCAAGTTCCGGCCAATAGCCTTGACATGCTGTATGGCCAAGGTTCTGGAGCGAATGGTCAACAGGAGGCTAAAGCATTTCCTTGAAGCCGAAAACCTTCTAAACCATCGACAGCACGCCTTCCTTCAAGGGTACGGAACATCAACTTATTTTGCAACATTAGGGGAGGTCCTCAAGAGTGCCAACGATAGCGGTCTCCACACCGAGATCGTCTCGCTGTATATATCGAAGGCCTTCAACAGGACGTGGACGCCCCTCGTCTTAGAGCAGCTTGTCAACTGGGGGCTGTGTGGACCCATGGTCCACTTCATCAAAAATTTCCTGACCGATTGCTCTTTCAGAGGCGCAGTGGGCAACACGAGGTCCCAGCTTTTCAGAGAAGAGACGGGCGTCCCTCAAGGTTCAGTTATCGCCGTTACCCTCTTCCTTGTGGCCATGAACGGAGTTTTCGGAGGACTGCCGAAAAATGTTTACATTTTCGTGTATGCAGACGATGTACTTATCGTAACTACCGGCCCAACAGCAGCACGCAACAGGATCAAGGCCCAGGCAGCAGTCTCCGCTGTAGCCAGGTGGGCCAGCGCGGTAGGTTTCCAGCTTTCGGCCACGAAAAGCGTCAGGTGCCACGTGTGTCCATCCCGGCACCGTGTCAGCAGGCCACCTATTAAAGTTCAAAACCAGCCAATACCACTGAAGAAGACGGTCCGTATTCTGGGGGTACTTGTTGACCGGTCCCTCAACTTCGAGCAGCACTTTAAGGCGATCAAGAACAACTGCCGCAGTAGGATCAACTTGATCCGCACTATCTCTCGCCCCCACCGGTCTAACAATCGTGACACTCGTTTCCGGGTTGCAAGAGCCGTCATCGATAGTCGCCTACTGTACGGTCTTGAGATGACTGCATCGCCACCGAAAAGCTGATACTAGCACCAACTTTTAACACCTACGTTCGGATTGTCTCCGGTCTTCTTCCGTCAACGCCCGCCGATGCCGCATGCATCGAAGCGGGTATTCTGCCCTTCTGCCATCGTATAACCGCAGCAATTGCAACGAAAGCCGCTGCCTTTACCGCAATGACCTCCGGAAATGACAGGATCTTTCTCCTCGTTGAGGGGAACAGACTCCTCCGCATGACTGCCAATTCGGAGCTCCCCCCAGTGGCCAAGGTCCACTGGTACGGAGACAAAAGTTGGAGCATACCTCCACCAAAAATCGATAGTCGGATAAAAAGCAGGTTCAAGGCTGGAGATACCTCTGCAGCGCTGAAGAGAACAATAGCCGAACTGCTAGGCTCGGACTATCCAACCCATGCCCACATATACACAGACGGATCGCTTTCCCGAGCCGGGGTCGGAATTGGAGTAGCCGGAATTTCAGCACCGATGAGTAGCAGCCTACCACCACAATGCTCGGTTTTCTCCGCTGAAGCTGCGGCCATCTTTGTTGCCGTTACAACACCCTCGGACCGGCCCATACTGGTGCTATCCGATTTGTACAGCTTGATACAAGCCCTTACATCGGAGACCATGACTCACCCCTGGATACAGGGTATTGTGGAGGCCACACCTCCCAACACGGTGTTTTCCTGGATCCCTGGGCATTGCGGTATCCCAGGCAACAGCGAAGCCGACAGCTGGCCCCCGTTACACCGACGAAGTGCCACTACAGGACATAAGCGATGGATAGTCTGCAAAGTGTGGGAAGCCTGGGAAGCAGAGTGGTGCCCAATCCCTCTTCATCCGAAGAATCAAAGGAACGACAAGCAAGTGGACGGATATGTCGAAACTACGGGACCAGAAGGTGGTTTCTCGTCTTAGGACAGGCCATACAAGGATCTCACATAGTTTTGGTGGGACGCAGTTCCACAGAATGTGCTACGTTTGCGGAACCACTGCATCGGTGGAACACATCATATGCCTGTGTCCGCAATACCAACAACTAAGGGATCAGTACGCACTTCCCAACAGCATTAGGGACATACTGGGCGACGAACCTTCCACTTTAGCGACAGTTATTTATTTCCTCAAGGACGCTGGGTTATACAACAACATTTAGGTCCTTTTAACTTTGTTTTTGCTGACGGTACATCTCTACCGGACGGGGGATTACCCCTCCTACGGTGAAGCTCCGATCTCTTTCAAAACCCTACCTAACTTTGATGTACCAGATTGTTTTTTTTCTTCTCGTTGCCTGTATTGTTAGTCTTTTTACTGGAATCTGTTTTAATTGCTTCTATTTGAGTACATGTGAATTGTAAGCCAACTCCGTAACAAAATTTGCTGGTGGAACCCCCCTCTGGGGCCTCCCATTTTATAGAGATGAACTAGCCAACGGCTAAAAATCTCTCTAATAAAGTTAAAAAAAAATGTAAATCGTTGACTTCACGCAGAAGTAATACTAAACAAATAGTCAAAGTACATAACTCTGGATGGGAGCATACCATCAATTACTGTCATTGGTCGAAAGGTACAGTAGCAGCACCTACCCCACCCGTGTCCCCTCGAGATCGTCAAGTCGGCGATGACAGGAGCACATACCGTGGTAGGGGTAACAATAGCTGCAATTTCCAAACCTACGACTGGATGCCTTCCAGATGCCGGTAGAACTGTTTCAAACACATGTCGGTACTTGAGCGGTCGGCGATCATCTCTTTTTGCCAGTGGTGGCCCCTCACCATCCCTCTCCAAAGGGGGAGTTTGGTAAAGAGAAATGATAAAACCGATTTGTTCCTTCCTAAAAGTTGTCCTAGCTCGCTGTCTACTCTCTATATGCAATTTGCACACTGCCGTACTCTAAAACTGGGTTTAGACTAGGCAAGTCAAATGATCAACTCAGTTGAATTCAATTGGCTTGAAAAGCTGAGTCTGGTTCAACTTTTTTTCAATTCAAGTGAGTTGATCAAATCAGTTGAATGGCATGGTTTACACGTTCAAGATGTATTCAACTGACTTGATCAATTGACTTGCCCTATCTAAACCCAGCTTAACGGAACTATCAATTCTATACTTTCATCTCCTCCTCATCTATCGTATAAAAATTACCACTTTAGTCTGTTATTTGAAATTAGCATCCTCAACTAAGTAAAACCTGGTTCTATTGAAGCGCCCATACTCCGTTGCGCATCCATGTTTCACTCCCGTGTTGAAGTGCCCAACGTAGAGCAACAACTCGCGTGGTCTTTCTTTCTTCGTAAAATGAAAGACAGTGCAATTCCATTTCTACTGTATGGAAAAAGCTCTTTGATGAATCAGTTATCCTGAGGTTGGAACTGTGCTCGTCCGCACCTAGCAAACCTCGGATAATAACTCATCAGAACAACTGCCCCGATTCTTTATTCTTCGAAACCTTTTATACATGAATTTGTTACTTAAACTCTACACAATAGTTTTTCTCCAGTATGTACATATAAAGCGAGACAGATAGCTTTTCTCTTGGAAAGTCGGTGTCTGTTTTTTTTAACAAGAATTAATGCTCCTCGCGGTAGGAACGGCTATGTAGGATGCTTACTCATCAATGTTTACTTTGACCTTTCGCGAAGCACCTAGTTAAGCCAGCGCGCATCGCTGACGACGCGGTAGCAACTGTTTATAAACAACTGACCCTGGAAATGTGTGACATTGTCACTGCTGCTGTTAAGTTGTGTATTTTCTCGTACCGTATGGGGGTCTATGACTGGTTAATTTCTTATTCAGATTGATATTGGAATTTGAGGCTTTTGCACTATTATGACAGTTCAAATTGGTTCAAAAATCACTACGTCTTCGTCAGACCTAGCTCTCAACTATACGTACGGCAGCGGACTGCACTTCAATTTCACGGACACTTGCTTCATCCGCTTGTTGGCTTCCCGTTGGAAACTGATGAATGGAACAACCAGACTTTCTTCCACCGACCCTGGGGTAGACCCACAAGAAGTAAGAAATTTCACATCACGGTTAATAGTTACCTTTCCTGTCGTCTCGTCCACTTCGATACTTCACTGTATTCGAAGGGGGCGACTCTATCTATGATGCAGGAAAGATTGTGTTTTGCTGTGGATAGCTGCGCGCACGCTGAGTAGATAGAAAGTAGATTGATGACGATTCTGAAGATTTCCTGCAAAAAGATGATACGCGAAATGAAAGAAGCTTTTTCGAATTTTGATTTGCTAGTGTTAGATTTTTTGAGCATCTAGAATTGAGACCCACTGTATCCGATAAATCTAAGCTTGACAGCCTTCCGATCCAGCTTACCGCGCTTAACATTTGGCACATAGCAGTACGCATCCACACCAATCCTCTGGCTCGGCCAGTGGTTCTTGAAGCTACCGTCAGTAACAGTTAGAGATGAACTAGCCTAAGGTTAAAAATCTCTTTAATAAAGCCTTAAAAAAAAACGTCAGTAACAGCAGTGACGTTGATTTTAAGCTTCGTTCATACGTTATCATCATCTTGGTTTTCCAATGAGATCCACCCATCCAAGTATGATCAATCTATTGCCCAGTAATTGGTTCTTGAAACCACCGTGAATTCAATTTCATGCACTTCTTTCATATAATTTCAAATTTTTAGAAAAACAACTGAAATACAACGAAACTACCTTCGAAAACACCAAAATTTCTCCTATACCGCAACGTTACCATGGTCATTCAAACAAAGATATAAACGAAGCTGAAACTCGTAATGTTTAGAAGATCAGCTATCAATAGCTAATCGAACCAAAGAACCACCGGCTCAAGAAAAGTGTTCTTGGATGACTTTTGTGCCACCGGAGTGATCCACACCAAACCGCTGAATGTGTCCGAGATTGGATTTCTTACCAAACCATCTATCGCATCAAGTGAGAAACGCATAGTAGTTATCATCGTCATCTTGCTACGATACGTGGTTGGCTTTTTGTTGCTTAAGTACTGCCTTTCGGTGCTTGGATACAACTCCGTTGACTTTCTCTGCCTTCCATACTCTGAACTTTTCCCAGTTTGTCTTCTGATGGCCAAACCTTTTGCAGAAGAAGCACTGGTTTTTTGATCGGCCTTTGAACTTGCATAGAGAACGGCTTCAGGATTATTGCTATCATCGTTGCGCTGCTTCTTTTTCTGCCATTCGTGTGTGAGCTTGCTCTTCACCAATTAGGGTTAAATCATTCTCCGATCGAGCTTAAGAGCGGTGACCAACATCTCGTACTCCTCAGGCAGACTGCTGAACAAAATCGCGACCAACCATTGGTCGTCAAGGATATTTTCCGGCTGTAAATTGTTGAGCTTCTCGGACAATTCCGACAGGCGACCTCAGAATGTACGTGTATGAATAGGCATTCTTGAAATGGGTCGTTCGATGTACAGTATAGCTATCACCTTCCATCGCCAGGGCTAAAACTGTTTGCATCTAGGGTAGGAGCACCAGTTATGGCTATACGTTCCCAATGTGGTGTGTTCCAATTCTGGCCTATGGGTATTCCATAGGTCATAATTGGAACGTATAGCCATAACTGGTGCACCTACCCTATGTATAAAAATAGGTGCCAACAATTTGCTTCAATTAAAGCACTGCCGGCCAGTGGGAAATGGATTGTAGACACACACCTATCATTTTGCTAATGATTATGCCATCACTGCATCAATTAAGATTTGATGTTGCCCATAATTCAATATCGTAAACAAACTGTGTTGGTCGAACACAGAATATAATACCTCATACGATACTCGGGATTCCGGCATTTGTGCTGTTGAGAGATGTAAGGTAAGATAAATAAGTAATATTTTACATAGCGCAATAAGAATAAGATTTAACGATTCCAATTAGTAGAATTTTATTTAATTAAAATTACTTTTGTTCTTTTTTACAAAAAACGTACAGATAAATGATATTGACAGCCTAATTGTGGAGCCCGATAATTTTTACTCCTATTTTCTTTAAAATTTCAGCCACTTCACGTATCACCTGAGTTGGCGTATACGTTCTTAACATTTCTTCTTTTCGCTAAATATTTTCTCTGACTAAAGAAAAGCTGATCACTCGTTTTGTTTTTCTTATATGAAGTTAGAAAAAGAAATCTAAAGAGATACAAAAAATCGATCATACACAGGAAAGGTAACGAAAAGAAAAACAGGACAGCTTAATTCGAACTATAGCACTTCTTGGTATCGTTTACAATCGGAAAGCTCTTCCCGCCACTTAAATACTAAAAACTTGATAGTGATGGCCAACACCGATTCAGTCCTGCCACTTGCCTAGCTTCTTCTTTGCGCAAAACTGGCTGGCCTGTTGAATGAAGAAAGAAAGTTAGTATAACAATTCAAACTCAATTATGAAAACATTAAATACGTACGTTACACTTCTGAGCATTATCTTCATTAGCGCACCAATGCGCTGGTCCCCAGGTACACTCATTATCTCCGACCATGTATAACTTTTTCTTCTCGACATGATCCGCCTTCTCAACTTCGTCTTCAAATTTGACGTATCCAGTGGGATTGCTGCACATTCCCATGTTCACGCAAACCTGTTCTCTTTCCACAAACTTCTGCAACTGGTGCACCATGCTGACTCCATACACCTCGAGCATTTTCTCGCATTTCTCGTAGTATTTGGCTGGAACGGTGTTACAGATTTTCTCCACGTCCTGGACAATGTCGTAATCGATCTTCTTATTGCCCAGAATGTCGTCGACCGCCTTGATGGCTCCCTGACAGACAGCACATTCTATGATTTCAACTGAAAACAGTATAGAGTATAGTATGTAAGTAAGTTTTGATTAGAATAACTGGAAAATTGATACATACAATTACTCTCTTCCAACTTCTGCAGTTGCTTCTCGCACAGAGCCAGTCTTGTGCAAATCTCCTTCGGTGGCAGGGTAGACAGGAACTTGATGATAAACTGTCCATACTGATCAATCATATGATTGCACTGTTTAGTCACAGTGTTCGGAAGCTTCGAACAAACGGTGCGGACAGCGTTCTCGATTTCTTCTTCGGTTTTCTTGTCTGCCAATTCGGATTCCAATTTAACCATGACAAATTCACACATGGCACATTGGGGTGGTTGACTAAGCGGCTCGCTCACTTCGACAGCCGAAAAAAGTTCCTTCGGAGACTCTACAATGACAGCTGGTTCAACAACGTAGTCCAATAGAGCTTCGTCAACTTCCACTGTGGATCAAAATATGTTTTGAAATTAGTTTCTACATGGACAGCATTCAAACAGTTTGATACTTACATTCATCAACCTCCTTGGCGATGCAGAATCCAAGCGTGTGGCAAATCTCCTTCGGGGACAGTTGCTTCATCAAAAGATCTACAATCTGATCGCTGTGTTCATCAATGTACCGCTCGCACTTGGTCTTGTATTTTCTCAATCGATCGCAAGCGTGCTCCAGAGCTGTCTTGATCTGTTCCTTACTTTTCTTGTTCTTTACTCGCTTTTCGACTTCCTTGACCATTTCTTCGCATACAAGACACTCTGGCGAAGCAATAGTAGCCTGGTGATCGATCGTAACCTGACCGTTCACGGTATTATCGGCGATTTCGTTTGTTTCAATATCGTAGTGATTGCGTTGCTGCTGACGGAAGTCGTGATCGAATTCCATGTTCAAAAGACTTAAGTCAGGACGCTGATCAACGCACAGCTTGAGGTAGACGCAGATTTCCTGTGGAGTAAAGTCCGACACCAACATTTCGACGAGCTCCGAAGAATAGGTATCAACAAAGTCGGTGCATTCCATCTTCAGTTTGGGTGACAGGTGAGAACAGAGTTTGCTCAAAGCATGTTTGATATTTTCCTTGGTACGGTCGTTCTTAATACTTTCTTCCAGTTGAGTAACTGCGAACAAGCACAGGGGACATGTGGGTTTATCCTGGCCAGCGTTGGCATCGATCGTAACGTCAATCTGACCCGGAGCGAAGATTTCAATATCATCCCGCGCTGCTGGACACATGTGTAGTTGTGGACAGATCTCACGTGGATCCATTGATTGAATCAAAAGCGCAATAACGGCATCGCCATACAGGTCAATAAAGTTATGGCATTCGTTACGGATGGCTTTGGGTAGCTTTTCACACGTCGTACCGACAACATTCTTGATTTCATCTTCATTGGCCGGTTCGCTCAAAGCTTCCTGGACAAAGTGCATGAAATATTCGCAGAGGGTACAGAACTTGCCGTTTTCGACCAAACCCAACGACAGTGGAGCTCCCATAAGTCTATCAATTGGTAACTGAGCCTGTTGAATTTCTACTGCAGACAATTTGGGTTCATTCTGTCCAAGCAATTTCTTTGGAGGCTTTTGCTGTTGTTCGTGGATAATAGCAACACGCAATGGGACAATTGGCATGATCGGACCATCTAACTTCATATTCAATCCCTTCGGACAAACTCCAATCATGAAGCATGCACTGTTGCTATCTAGGTTATGTACAAGAGTGCTGTAGATTTCCTCGTAATACTGATCGACCAAGTTCAAGCATTCATTGCTGAATGTTTTAGTCTGCTTGCAAAGCCCTTCCAATACTTGCTTGAACTCCAGCTCCGTGGTGTTGGCAATAAGCACATCCCGCAGGTGGTCAACCAATTGTTCACACAGTTTGCATGGAATATCGTCACCTTCCAGCTGTTCATTTTCTACCTTGATGACACCAACTCCTCCCATAGGCCGGATTTCGATTTCCTCGCTAGATTGTGAAGAAAGGCATTAAAGTATACCAACAAACAAACTAAGCATTGCTTCTAACACTCACCTTTCCTCGTGCTGATGGAATTGACTAGCACAGGCTCCCGACATATGACAGACATTCTTGGCGTTGAACTCCTTAATCATATGGTCGTAAATCTCGTTGAAGTAGCTTAGCACAATACTGGAGCATCCATCAGAGAAAGATCCCATCTGACCACAGAGTCTCAAGAATCCTTCCAGAACCTGGTCCCGATCGGTAGCATGGAACCGATTGGTGATCAATCCAGCAATTTTGTTACACTTTCCGCAGTTGAATTCATCTTTCATTTGGTCGCTCACATCCGCGGAATCATCTATATCATCCTGATCTTTCGGTTTAACTGCCGGCATCTCCTCCAGCATTTTATCGATGGCCGCATTGTTGCACAATCCAGCCACGCTGCATACTACATTGGGGTTCATCTGCGAAGCCAGCGCTTCCACCAGCTCCGGAATGAAATCATCGGCCAACTTTTTGCACTCCTTCTTGACAACCTTAATCGGGATCAAATTACACGATCCCTCAAAGACGGCCTTCAGGTCAGCTTGAGTTTCATTGCTTTCCAGCTGATCGCGTGCCTGCTTGACCATATCCAAACAGATGTTGCAAATTTCATCGTTATCAACTGCGTACTTTTGCTTCTCCCACACAGTTTGAATGCAGTGTGTCACCGCTCCACAATTCTTAGCATTCCTGGAATTATGCAAGGAAAAAAAAAGGATAATGAACCATACTCTTTCAGCGTCTTAAAAATTGAAATGATGCGCAGCTGCTTACAGTAAAACTCACTTTCGATAAATTTAGAAACTGTTAAATAAAAGAGTATTTATTTATCTATATTTATGGTTGGAGAAAAAACGCTACAATCATCACTCTAATTTAACGTACCTATGTATACGTGATACGCATTTGTATGAGAAAAAATGTTATATTTCAAGTAGATGTAAAAGCTCAACTCTGTTCAATGCGAGTCACTCACATATAAATTTCACATTATTGTGAGCTTATGTAGACAGATATCCATATGTTTGCTGACTGGCTAGCTACGACAGAAAGGTACACATTCGAAATGGACAAGACGTGACTTCTTACATTATGGGTTCTCGACTTGTGTAAACGGTATTACGAGGTGTTGTCCAACAAAATAATGACATCATAATACTGGATCATCGGAACAAATGGATTTATTTAGTGCCATAAGATGTAGTGCGCTGTTGACAGGGTAGGTGTGCTAGTGTTTGGCTCGAGTGGTCCCCTAATTGAACATATTTTGAATTTCACATTTATTTATTCTCTTATCAAATTTACTACGTTACAAGGCTAGAATATATATATTTTGCCATATTTCATATCAGATTAAGGCCTCTTTCTGTTTGGCTTTGATACGTCCCTGCTTTACGCCGGCACTCAACTAAGTGTTCTTTGAGCACCTCCACAGTTGTTAATTGAAGCTTTCTATGACTGTGCCATTTTTGCATTAGTATAATTGTGTGGCAAGTCCAATCATACTTCAATGCCCAGGGAAGTTGAAAAAAATTTCAACGCGAAGAATTCGTCCACGGTTGTATAACATTTTGCAGTAATCCATTTCGCGGTCGGCCATTTGCGGGATACAATTTCTCATTTTATACCAACTTTCAGTTTATAACATTTCGCGGTCTGTACCGTTTTGCGGCATTAAAATACTCGATTAAATTTATCGTCTTTTCTACCTGATTATTTTGGTGAAGAAGCGATTATTTCCTTCTTTGAATATTTTGATATAGTTATAAGGCTTGTACTCGAAAAAAATGCACCATTTTTATCCGTGTGTAACTTTTTTATCCGTGGGTTAAAAATTGATGAAAATCTGAATATAATAAGTTTGGAGTGAATTGTTTACATGTGCAAAATTTCATAACAATCGGTTCAGTGGTTATTGAGATGTCATCGAAACAAGAAGAAAATCTTCGGAGAATTTTGCGCGCCGTGGAAGAAAATCGAAGACAGCTGACCCTGTGAAGGCCCGGACGGTGTTGGGTTATTTCAAGCGTAATCCGAACCTTTCGATTCGCGATGCAGCTCTGAAGGCAAAGTGTTCCGCCTGGTTCGTTCAGCAAACTATGAAATGAGCGGGGCTTCGTGTATTCAAGGTCCGGAAGACACAGAACCGGCGTGATCAACAAAACACGGCGACCAAATCCCGCGCAAGGAAGCTGTATCGAGAGTGGTTAACGAAACCGATGTGTGTGGTTATGGATGACGAAACCTACATCAAGGCAGACGCAAAGCAGATACCGGGGCTGGAGTTCTTCGTTGCCAAATCACGGTTTGATGTTCCGGAAGACATAAGGAAGAAGAAAGTGGACAAATTCGCCAAAAAAATACTTGCTCTGGCAGGCCATATGCCAATGCGGTAAACTGAGTCAATGGGTACCATCAACAGCGAAATTTACCGCACCGAATGCCTCCAGAAGTGTCTGTTGCCCTTTCTGCGGTCCTACGGAGGCGAGACATTATTTTGGCCGGACCTGGCATCATGCCATTACGCGCGATCGACGTTGGATTGGTACAGAGACAATAACGTTGTTTTTGTACCAAAAACCGCCAACCCCCCAAGTTCACCAGAGATTCGTCCGGTGGACAGATTTTGGGGCATAATGAAGGCCAAAGTTCGAAAATCGTCCAAGGTGTTTAAGAACGAGCTTGAGTTGAAGAAAGAATGGATGAAAGTGACCAAAAAGGTTCCCGTTTCACCTGTGCATACAATGCCTGGGTTTCATTTGCATGCACGTAACCTATAGCTCATACCGTAGTAGGCTGTGTATAAAAGAAAATGATTTACTTATAGCGAATTCGTTTATTAACTTTTTGTCAGTGCGAACCTCAACCTGAGCTGGGTCTTAAAAACAAACGATCGAACTGACGTTTGTCAGAAAACAAGCAGGACCAATCTTGATACCCAATCCAGGTTGGAACTGAATAATAAACGAATTCGCTATTAGTTTGACAGTTGCACCATGACGAAGTGGCAGCGTATTCGTGATTTGTCCCACGCGCAAATGTCGAAAAAAGACATTTCAATCGCCGTGGGAGTGTCCCGGTGGACCGTCAAAAGCGAAAAAATCCGGTAATCCTGTTCGATCCCGTATCAAATTCCAGAACCGACCGGTGTATTAGTTCTCTTTCGGTAAAAGACGTGGCCGATGAGCACAAGAACGTGTATCTGACCAAGCATCCTGTTAACGTTATGATGTTTGGATTGGTGGCTTCCGATGGAAGAAAAATGGACCCGGTGTTCATTCCAGAAGGCGACAAGGTCAACACGGAGGTCTACATCGGGATTTTAAGTAAGTATGTTCTTCCGTGGATCCAAAAACAGTACGGTCCGAAGCCAAATATTGTATTTCAACAAATGGGGCTCCGTGCCACACCTCGAACCGCACTCAGAAGTGGTTGCAGGAACATCTTCCGTTCTGGGCGAAGGATATGTGGCCGCCATCCAGCCCCGATCTTAATCCGCTCGATTACGAAATATGTCGCGTCATGAAGGTCAAGGCCTGTTCTAAACGCCACCCGAGTACACAGCAAGCCTTAGACAAACATTGACCCGTAACTGGAGAGAAATGGATCCAGACTACATTATTAGAACCTGCCGTGCATTCCGGAAGCGTGTGGAGATCGTAATTGCATTAAGTGGAAACTCGATCAATGATTAACATAGTTTAAGACTCTGAGAAACATCCCCCTTTGAATAAATAAAAAAAAAACTCGAAAACGAAAATTTTGAATTTTTTTTTTTAATTTTGACATTGCTCAATGGTGCAAACATTATCACGCATACGGTAATTTTACAGAAATCATACGAAAGTCTTTTCACACTCTTAGAGTTGAATTCTTTTTTATATTCTAAGCAGTTCTTTTGCAAGTTAAAGCTATTGAACAATCCAACTGAAATGCTCAATAGTAATTCTTTTGGAGTTAACTTCTTCTTTTAAACTTGCGCTGTTCTTTGGCAGCTTGGGTTAAAAAGCTGTTCCAATCGAACAAAGCAATCCATTTTGACAGTTGGACGAATGGAACAGCTTTTGACCGACGTCCAACCTTTTGGTATTCGTTTAGTGTTATAATATAACACGTTCAGACTACAGAGTTATAACATGTTATAATAATTTTCGCCAAGAAAAATTTCATCAAGATAGTCAGTCTGGCCAGCGTTTTAGGGTGGAGAATGGCTTCGGCTCCCGAGACCATATTCAAAGCACGGTTTTTTTAAAAAGAAATTTAATCGGAAATCTATCCAAAAAATGTTCTATGATGTGAAATATCATGCTGCAGAAAATAAGCGATGAAAGTTATTGTATACCACATGGTTGGAATGAGGTTTCACGGGCCGAAGCCGTTCTTAAACCTATATCAAAAATAACCCTTTAGAGATAATGATAAAACTTCGTGAGCAGAATTCCTCTACAATATGCAGGGCTGGTAGCAAGGGGTAGGTCACTCCGCTCACCAATCTTGGGTCATCTTTTTTGTCAGTGTGCCGCAGGTGTGCCGATTGTGCCGGTCACAGAACAAGCTGCGATTGTTTGTAAAATACCCATCCCGGCAACGCAGTATTTCTGACGCCTTGAATGATTTGATTTGAAATCGCAAGGATAAATCGGATTGAGGATGACGTGGGAAGTGGCTGGTGTTGGTGTTTTATGTTCATAGGATGATAAAATTCCTGTGTTTTAGTCTTCTATAATGCCCTCAAAGGCATACCAGAAACCTAGCCTTTCGTGATGTGAACAGCATCGGTCTATCAGCGGCCGGAAAGAGTTGGAACCGGTGGGGAGCATTGTTGGAAACTGACTATATAGGATGAATAGACTTCTTTAGTTTGTTTTGTGTGATTTGCAGCATTATTTGAATTAAGGGTACTAATGGGGTCTAATTAACTGCCTCTTTCTCTGGAACCCATTCTAAATATATTTCGTGTTTAGATAATTTTTATAAGTGAACTGCTGGTCTGAGTTTCTCTGGTATATTAAATTAGAGGATATTTCTGAATATACAGTCAAACAGCTCAATGACAGTTGTCCAGTAGTAATCCCATTTTATTTACAACAATCCAATGCCTACAAGATTGTGCCGAAGGTGTGCCCAAGGTATGCGGAAGGTGTGCCGATGGATGTACCCAAGCTGTGTCGAATCTAATTTCGGCACAATGTGCTGAGTGACTTACCCCCTGGCTGGTAGTGAGTTATACAATATTATTGACTACAATATCGAGAAAAAACAGTGACCAATAGTGACATTTATTGATCGGAAAGATATTAAAGATATGAATCTAATCTTTCGATGAATGCGATCCACTTTGACAAATATTATAAATTCTTAAAGCATTTTACAAGTTTTTTTTTTAATAAGTGAAGGATCTTATAAATTTCTTTTCGTAAAATCAGTATTATTTGGATAATCAATAGGTTAATATGTAACCTCCATTTCCTCACACAGCACTCATTTTTTTGCTACGATTTTTTGGAAACCAACCGTTGAATAAGTTGAATTTAGATTCAGATCGCGAATTCGGGATGTGAAAGATTGAAAATAGAAATTTATTAGGAAATCTTGAAATTGAAAAAAAAATCAAAGTCTTGGACAAATTCGTCAATTTGAATACAAGCAATTTTAAAGATCTCGAATATAGAAACTTCTGTAAAACTTCA